CGGAGAAATATTCCATCAAAAGCTTTTAATGTGTGATATGTGGCATGTAAGTGTGAAGCAGGTCACCGAGCTGTCATAGCCTGCTGCTAATTGCTTCATTAAAATGAATATTTGTAGCTGATAGCTTCTTTTGAGCTAAATATAATGATGGGTTGTCATTATTCGGTTCTAGAGTGTATCCTCTGTCACTGGCTCCAGTCGTGGCCTTTAATAAGTGAATTAAGTGAGCTGGTCAGTCATACATAGTGGAGGTAATTATTCTTCAACTTCTCCCATAATTTTAACGGAGCCACTTTAGTTTACAGTTGTTTAATACATCTCAGGCAGCAATAGGCTCTAATGTTATTAGTATTTTGCTCTCAGTTTTGGGTCATTTAATATTGAGACACAATATACATATACATTGTACCTATATGAGCTTGTTGGCCATTCCATGCCAAAATCATGAGCATTATTATGGAGTTGTTCCCCCTTTGCAGCTATAACAACCTCCACTCTTCTGGGAAACAGTTCCCGATGTTTTTTTGTTGATGTTGCTGCAAAAGAGGCAGTTGGGAACCCTGAGTGAATTTGGGTGGTTTACCTTTTAATGGTTGTTGCTCATAGACACTACTATTTTACAGTAATAGCACTTACAGTTGGGTGGAGCAGAACTAGCAGAACAAAAATTTCACAAACTGATTTCATCCTATTACAGCACAATGTTTAAAGTACTTGAGCTTTTCAGCATTAGCCGTTCTACTACCAATGTTTGTCTGTGGAGATTGCATGGCTATGTGATTGATTTCATACAGCTGTTAGCAATGGATGTGCCTGAAACACCTAAACTCAATAATTAAGATGTCCACATACTTTTGGCCACATAGTGTGTTTTTGTAGATAGTTATACATTCGCATGGTGGACTCCAGCTAAAGTAAGATACACTGCCAGTTACTTTAAGACTCAGCAGGAAAATTAATTTTCCATTACACAGCACAGTATATCGTTGCACATCAGCTAACAAGTTAAGCTAACTAGCAAGCAAAGTTGCTGATTAGACAAATTAGATGCTTTAGATTGACAAAATTAAATTGTTATTTGCAGTTATTCTAGTGACAGAGCTGGAAAATGAACTAAAACTAAAGGCCACCCAATTCTAGCGCTCAGCTTTACAAAAGCCACGGTAGTGAAACTGCAGTTACTGGGCTAGAATGTTAGCTGAGGTAGCACACACAAAAAATACTGGGTTGAAAACTTTAAGTCATATTCATAACCCAGCGCTGGGTCACTGTATAACAGAACACACAAGTTAATCTGACCCAGCATCACTCGGTTATATGAATAACCCAGCAGGCAGGGTCAATAGATTTACTCCAAATTCGGGCCTTGTCCCAACACTGGGTTCATTTAAGCTGTTTTTTAGGTTTCTGTGTGATGTTTTTGTTTATTTTAAATTTTAGTTTTTTTCACATTTCATTTTCGACTTGTCGAAATCCATGTAAATCCTGGTTTTACGGGTGACCAGCTCATTAACTTCCATTACTGGTGACCAGAACACCAGCATCCAAAAAAGAACACATGCTGGTGACTAGTGATACTATTCGATGCTGTTTTTTTCTATCAGGGATCATAGTTGGTAGGCCACATGTATTACAGTTTTTACATGGATAATGTTAAAAATGACCTTCTATTCAGCTATAAATATAAACAAATGTCAAATAAAGGGCTGCAGCTATCAGTAATCCTCCAGTAAAAGGATAATGCCTACGGCATTATAAAGATGATTATAAATATTTATAAAAATGAATTACACTGGATTTCACTTTACAGCCATGTTTATTATACATTATGAATTGTTAATATAATGCATTATAAATAGTGTTAATAACATGTTATACTCTCAGTGCCAAAGAAGTCAGTCCCAGCTTGGAGACTGCAAAGTAAACACAAATACCAAGCTAACGGTGGTGTACATTGACTTTCCCACATTGGGTAAAACACTGATGGCAGCTCTAGTTTAAACTCTGACATTTGAACCCTGTAATGAGCTTTATTGTGAATGTTTTAGTGTTTCAGTAAATCCTTCAGTAAATACTTCAACTTGAAGCCTCACTCTGAACACTGGAGGAGGCTTTAGTACAGTACGCTTCACTTTACTTAGAGCAGACAAATACCACTTATGAGCTCTTATAATTTGTTATGAACAGTACTTATAATGTATTATGTTAACAATTCATAATGCATAATAAGCATGGCTATAATGTATAATGCATTTTTATAAATATTTATAGCTATGTTTATAATGCCTTATGAATGCATTATAACATGTTATGAATATGTTTATAGATGCTTACAAAGGTGACATTCATAGAAAGTGTTACCAAAAACACTTCATAATATGGAGTTTTCCTGACATAAACCACTATTTTAATTGGTTTCACTGAAAAGTAATGTCTATATTAGATGGAAGTTTACTGGTTTACTGATAACTGGTTCTGCTGTGATTTTAAAAAAAAATCCTTGGCTGGGTTGTCACTAACTCAGCAGTATCTCATATATCATTATCCCATCAACTATCTAAAAAATACCCAGCTCAGTGGAAATAACCCAAAAAAATGATCCAACAGGCTCAGCGTTGGAGTAGAAAAAACAATTGTTCTGTTAATTTTATAAATGCGATTATGCTTCGATGACATGAGAAGCTGAGACCAAAAAATCATGAATTGCGGGGGACTGAGGGGGCCGCAGTACCTCCAGATTTCAGGACCGCACCTGCTAAACACAATAATAATAGAACATTCTGAACTTCATTATGGTTTGTATGGAGCCCTGCTGGTGACATCCTGTATAAATGAAAATTATGTGTGGCCATATTAATATATGGGAACAAGATCCTATTGCATGGCCACGACTTAGTGAGGCATGGGAATGAGGTAATTAAGTCGTGGCCATGACTTAGTAAGGCATGGGAATGTGATCATGCCTTATTAAGATGTGGTCCAGGCTTAATTATGTCATTCCCACACCTTACTAAGTCGTAGCCACGCATTATTTTCATTTGTACGGGATGTCACCAGCAGGACTCTGTACAAACCATTATGAATGTTTGAGCATAGCATTCTATTTTCAGATTTTGTTTATGTGTTTTTGAAAGCAGCAGTAGCGCTGCACTGTTCAAGCTAATGCTACCTTTTCATTACAGCGAGCTGTCGGCCGCTTTGGGGATCCGTCTCTATAACACATGCAGGTCGAGGTGTAAAGAGGGAAAGTATGTGCACAGTTATAGCTCAGTTCTGAGCCCCAAAGCTGCCATTATTATACTGACTACAATGTTTTTGAATGTAATATATATAATCTAAGAAAATCACATTTTTTTTCAACTACTATTTTTTTCAACTGCTGTTTTTCAACTACTTCCAGTGTTAGATCTTCCCGCATGTTAATTTGCATAATGTTTGTCCGGAATGAGAAAGCAGAGTGAGGCAGTGGTGTGCCAGTTATGCACATATTGTCATTATTATGCCACATTTTGCTTGGCAAAAAAATGTCAAATTCAAATGAAAAAAGGCAAATCATTTTGCATGATGCCATCGTTCATGTCACAAATATGCTGTATAAAATTTCAGCACCTCCTCCACTTTCACCTGCCATTGCCATATGGCAACAAAATGCAAAGAAACTCTAATAAAATATCTCCTCTTCTGTTTACAAAGACACATGTGGTATGGATTGAAAGTTTAGGAGCTGCAATTTCAACATCCTGTGCATGTACACGAACAAGGACACAAAGCATGTTTTTACCTGAGAACACACTGACATAGTAAACGTAGCTGGAACCCGTCACGAAATGTCATCAAAAGTGCTCTCTGGAGACGCATTTGAGACATGCTAATGGCTATACGTCGCGCTGTCCACTTGAGAAAACAAATATGAACAGGGCCTAAAAGGACTTACGTATTTTTTTCAAACCTGGATAATAAGTGTCCAGTTTCCAAAAGCAGTGTATCGATTAACTATTTTTGTATTTGTTGCATATTGCAGTTCCACTGTCACCTGCTGTTGCCATATGGCAACAAAATGCAAAGTAACTAATAAAATATCTCCTCTTCTGTTTACAAAGACAAATGTGGTATGGATTGAAAGCTTAGAAGCTGCACTTTCAGGAGAATTTCTCAGCTTGCGTTAATGAGCTACAAGTGAAAAATGATCAATAATAATTAATTAATATAACCGTTGTTTTGATCAAGGTTCATTTTTGATGTTTGGATCATCATCGATTCTTTCGGTCACAATGCAGAAGCTGTTTTTCACTCTCAGCTTGTAGAATCTGTCTGCCTTTTATGGTGCATGCTGAGTTCATAGGGTGCGTTCTGTAGTAACTGACATTCAGATAACACTTGGACCAGTAAGTCTATTTCAGCACCCCCCCTTTCCGCATCCCTGACAGAGGCGAAACACGGGCCCCATAATACACGACAAGTGCATGCCCTGCGTACCTGGATGCTACGCCACCGGTCCCTGGTAATGATGTAATTCAGCTTGAGTAGCGTAGCAAAATGAAAGTAACAGCAGAGCTGAGCTTTACTGAAAGCTAAAGCTGTAGTTCTTTCCTTTTGTCGCGGGTGAATTCATACTTTTTTCCGCTCAAGAGATGCCACACGTCAAACTATCACTACAGCAGACTGAGTTTAATTTCTTTTTCTTGTCTGCTGCTTTGGGTGGTGGTGGAGCATCTACCCATTTCACCATGACAGCACAGATGGGGACATCTGCAGCTGTTTTCCTTTTTTTTTTGTTCTTGATCGATTTGTTCTGTGACTGTGTAACTGAGATGACGCTCCCTTGGCCCAAGAACAGAAGGCCGCTTCCCTTCCACAAAGCCTGAGCGTCTCTTTTTCTGCCTCCTACTGAGGAGATGAAATGAGTTTCCAGGCTGACTTGAGCATGTTGAGACATATAAATTCAACCTATCAGTTTTTGTTCCCCAGTTGTGACACTGATGTTCCTCTTTCATTTCTAGATGGGGTGTAAGGTGACCGTCCTGCTGTTCATCTATTTCCTGGCAACAAACTACTACTGGATCCTGGTGGAGGGCTTGTACCTGCACAGCCTTATCTTCATGGCCTTCCTGTCAGATACTAAGTACCTATGGGGCTTCACTCTGATTGGATGGGGTGAGTATGTGGCAGGGGTCATTTGTTCTCATTCAACTGCTCATTGTCCCCACAAGTGTGATTGCTCTCCATTTATAACCAAACCCAGCTAACTTCAAGCATTTTCTTTCCCCACAAAGCACTTGATTTGAGACTTATTATGCCTTCCATAGCTGTAGCACTTTGGATCGAAATTCAATCAGAGCTGCTGTTTTGCTGGAGAAACTTCCCCCTTTGCTTTGGACCTGAAGAAGTTCACGCTTTCACAGCAGCTCAGCTCCTTTTCTCTTCTTGAGAAAACGAATTAGACCTTGCGAATATACATCATAGTTAATTTGGCCTCATTACACCAATTGGACAGTTGCTACCTTGTTAACATGGACTTCACAAACTTCTCATCACGTTAATACATTCCTGTGCCAAGGCTTGTTCATGTGAGATGTTCTTGTGGGGATCAAATTTGCGAAACTAATTAATGGCAGGTACTAACAGGTGGAAACCCTTCAGGAGCCGGTAGATCTAATATGAGTAGACCACTATCAGCATGTTACATTCAGTCCAACAGGTTCTACTGTTCCATAAGTGGATGAGTGATGTTTATTATTGAATACTAATCTCTGTAACAGTTAGTTTATCTTTAGCAGCATAATTAACAGTTTATTACTTTTATTTTGCTATATTATTCATATATCCACATAATACTACTACATTCACTCCTTTGCCTCATTTTGTTGCCATATGGCAACAATGACTTTCTTTTCATTTTATTATAGCACTATGTACAGGTGTCTAGTGTGTCAACTTGGAGGTGGTCAGGAACATATATGACCACATAACGTCTGTAGTGTAAATGCTAAAGTGCCCCCAACAACATCAAATGACCATCTTATTCAACTGCGCCTCACGGAGACAAAAGCAGTTCTTTCTTTATCTGTAACATTTAGCTCATCTTTAGCAGTATAATTAACACCTTATTACTTTTTTGTTATATTATTCAGATATAACTGCACAATACTACTATATTAGCTCCTTCACTGTATTTTATTGCCTAATTAAATGATAAAAGTCAATTTTTTCAATTCCTTTTGGAAACTCAACCTTTCTGTATTCTCGCACTTCGCATTAACACACACTTAAAGTGATCCAATCATAAGTGGACAGTGCTATGTACAGGTTTCCCAGGTGTCCAGTGTGTCACAGAGGTACACTGAGATCTGATCACTCAAACCGCCTTGGAGGCAGTCAGGAACGCATATGACCACATAACATCTGTAGTCCTGTAGTCATCTGTCAAAGTGCACCCGACAACATCAAATGACCATTTTATTCAACTGCGCCTCACGGAGACAAAAGCAGTTGTGCAGCTTCTTTCTTTGTCTCTACTCCTGTTTGTTTGGTTGCGCTAGCAAGTCATGTGATTAAAAATGTTTGTAACATCCTGTACATATACGTGAATGAAGACACAAAGGACTGTGACTGACATAGTAAAAGCAGCTGGTACCCCTTCTCCAGTCACGAAATGTCATCAAAAGTGGTCTCTTGAGACACCTTTGAGACATGCAAACAGCTATATGTCACGCTGTCCATCTGAGATCACTCAGGTGGATATTTCTACCAAGTGTGAACAGGGCCTAAAAGCACTAATGCTTTGTTTTTTCAAATCTGAATAATAAAAGTGCCCAATTTCCAACATCAGTGTATCAATTAACTCCTTTTGTATTCCTTGCAGATTGCAGTTCCATTGTCACCTCCTGAAATGTAACTGTAATAAAATCTTCTCTTCTACTTACAAACACAAATGTGGTATGGATTGAAAGTTTAGAAGCGCACTTTCAGGAGACTTTCTTAGCTTGCGTTAATGAGCTACTTGTGAAAAATAATCAATATTAATTCATTAATATGACCGTGCTTTTGATTAAGGTTCATTTTTGATGCTTGAATCAACATTGATTCTTTCGGCCGCAATGCAGAAGCTGTTTTTCACTCTCAGCTTGTAGAATCTGTCTGTTTATTGTGCTGCACACTGAGTTCATAGGGTGCATTCTGTAGTAACTGACATTCAGATAACACTTGGGTCAATAAGTCTATGCAATAGCATTGTCAGTGAGTACACTAGAGATGTATAGATCTCGTCACAGTTTGCAAACCTTATGAGGAGCTGTCTGAAAAGACAACTTTAACTCTAAAATCTCAGGCTTATTCTATACTAAGGCTTATTGTGCAAACTGATTGAGCTATTGATAAGTTATAGAAGTGTGTGGTAAAACTTTGGGCCCACCATCAAAACTTTTGGGCCCTTTTCATCGTCCATGTAATCCCCAACACATTTTTCAGATCTAAAGCAGCTTGATTTTCTGCTTTTTCTCAAAAATGAAAGCTTTAAATGCTGTTTTAGAAGAAGGGGACCATTTAGGTGGTTTATCAGGTCTTCCAGGTGGTTGTTAGGAGCCCCATTTCCAAATTTTTTGAGCTCCAGTTGTGAAAGCACCTGTTTTTTCACTTTTTCTGTTTTGACTGAAAAAATTAAATAAATAAACAGTGCTCTCGAACCATTCTTCAAGGGTTCTTTAGTAAAGTAAAACTCAAAGAACCTTGTACATGATTAAGGGGATCTTTGCATCGTGAAAGCATTTTTCAGGTTGATGGAGAATGTGCTGTAGATGGTTCTATATAGAACCTTTTTGAAAAGGTTCTATATTGCACCAAAAAGGGTTCTATTCTGTTGCAAGAAGCCTGATATTGTAACAAGAGAAGAACCCTTTTGATGCTATATATAACCCTTTTCAAAAAAGGTTCTGTATAGAACCATCTATAGCACATGTTCCATCACCATGCAAAGAACCCTTTAATCATGGAAAGGATTCTTTAAATGTTCATGGTTCTATAAACCAGTTCTATAAACCATTTTTTACACTGAGGAACCTGTAAACCTGTAGAAACTGTAGGGTAATAGTGCATTTGGGACCGACTACACATATGTTTTCTGTACAGTGCTCTTTTAAACACAGTTTAATGAAAGGGCATCTCTCACACTGCCCCTTATACACATTACATACAGACTCACTTATATACTAGAACACAAATACATGCATATTAGCAACCACCCGGGACACCATAGCAACAGTCTAGCAACACCTCAGCAACCACCTGGGACACCATAGCAACAGTCTAGAAACACCTTGACAACCACCTGGGATACCATGGTAACAGTCTAACAATACCTTAGCAACCACCTGGGATACCTTAACAACAGCCTAGCAACACATTAGCAACCACTCGGGAAACCATAACAACAGTCCAGAGACACTTTAGCAACCACATAGGGACACAATAGCAACAGTCATGCAAAACCTTAGCAACCACCTGGGATACTATTACAACAGTCTAGCAACACCTTAGCAACCACCTGGGTTACTAGAGCAACAGCCTAGCAAAACATTAGCAACTACCTAAGATACCATAGCAATGGCCTAGCAACACCTTAGCAACCACCTGGGACACAATAACTGTGGCCTAGCTATACTTAAGCAACCACCTTAGCAATGACTTAGTTGAGCTAACAAAGTTTGCGCACAAACTTCCCCTTCTAGTTAATTATGCTAATGAAGAGAGTAAAATGACAGCACTAACTCTATACGCTTCACACTTTGAAGGCACATATTAGACTTTTTAGGAACAAAAAAGGCTCTAATATTAAAACTGAATTTAGAATTCACTACACACAAAACAGTCAGTCTCTCAGCGGATCCCCTTTTCATTAACTGATTAAACTTTTCTGTCAGATGTATTAAAGGTGAAAAAATGCAGAAGTGCGCAGGGAAGGTTGGCCCAGGAACACAGCCTCAGAGCTATCTCTGCTAGCAAAGCAATTAAACCAATATCAGAGCAGGCCTAAAGGGGAATGTTTGGCTCTATTACATCTTCACTTGTTTCAGAACAGCTCTGCGTAAGTGCTTTTGTTCTTGGAATTGAAAAAAATAAGCCATTCAGACACCACAGTGATGCACACATTCCCGAGAAACAGACAGGAACGTGAGCAACTGGAGGACGGAGTCATTTGAAGAGAAAATCAGCACTTATTTGAGCTTGTCTGCTCAAATAAGCCAACCCAGACTAAAAGTTCAGAAATTTAATTTAATCCAATAAAAAATAACAGTTTGAGTTTGGGCGTCTAAATTATTTTTCCATGCTCCAACTGCTGATGTCAGTTTTTCTTTACTTAGGGGTTATAAGTTACATAACATCAACCATTATTGATGAAGCAGTAAGCCATTACAGTGATTTTACCATTAAGGACGACGTAGAAGGTGAAAATCAGGGCCAATCATAGCAGAACTGATTTTTTTAATATATATATATATAAGTGTTTGAAGAACTTCTGGGGAAAAAACACAACAGAGCCAAGCAATGTTAAGCAATGTTAACCATAGGCAACAAAATGATTATTACAATATTACAAGCTTATACGATCTTAAAGCTTTCAGTAAATGTATGGAAATCAATGCAATCTGAGTTATTCTTAAGTTATAGGAGGAATGAAAGCTTCCAGCAGCATTTAAAGGGTTAACCTTTAACACTGTGTAATGCACAGTGACTTACTATTTTTACAAATTGGTGACAAAGCATAATATAATATAAAAGGGAATAAAGGTCCAATAAACTAGTTAATTTCGTATTATTAATGATGATAATTGCAAGTCCAATTCAGCTGACCGTTTCCTCCCCATGATAGGTAGGGATGGTGGGAGTGGGAGATGAAACGTTATTATTTGTTAATATTATTTGTTCAACAATACGGAAACCATTACTGAAAAACACATTTTTTTTATGTTTTTTAAATCATTTTGTATTTTTTTTAATTAGCTTTTTAAAGTCATATGCTGTAATAAACTGTGCCATCATAATCTATTGTTAAAGTCAAAACTGATCTTTTTGATCTTTGGTCCCTGGTCATATTAAAGGGGAATTCCACCAATATTTCAACATTTCTGCATAATTAAATGCTCAAGATGTAGGCAAAG